ACCGTTTCGTTTTCTGCTTGTGAGATTCACACAAATCCTCTTAGTATCTTACCACGGCCATCCAACTGGACTTTGTTTACTACTCGTTTTCTTGTACACAACGGCTGCGCATTTGTAATTTTTTTATTATACTTTCTTCTAGTATTTAGCCTACACGTATTGCCCATTATAGATGGAATTGTTTGATTTTAGCTACCAGAATATTATGAATATAGAAGAAAATGTCAGTGTACAATTCTCTTTAGGTCAAGTAGTTAACTTCGTCAGTTTCTACCAGAAATATTTTACTGTTTTCTAGAAGCAGTTGCTTGTAATAAATCTTTCACTTCTTATGCTAGATTAGGTCTTATTTCCTGTATTCTTTTTTTCTTTTCTTATATTTTTAATACATATTTAGACTTGAATTACTCTACTGTCTCCTAGCTCATCTTTTTACTTTTTATCATTCTCGCTCCAAGAGTTCGTTTTTCTTTTGTGGCACTATTCTTCTGATTTCTCGGTTCAGTATAAATAAGATTTTATATTATCTGGTTTTCTTGTTCTTAATATAGTCATATATAACTTTTCCTTTCAATTTTCTGTTTTGTTTTATATTATCTGTGATCCATTCAGGACTTTCTTTTCTACTTTTGTCCAAATATCATAAAGTGCTGCTTGGTGTATGCATTATTTCACTAACAGCTACTTCTCTCCTGATGTTTCTACTTTATCTACAGTTCCTAGCTTTGTAGGTAACCTGATATTATAGAGGAATTGTGTAAAAACTTCTCTTGAGTCATCGTTATGGTATTATTGTACTTTAGGTTTAGATTCAACGGTATTTTCGTTCTTGGTTTGTTTAGTATTCTTTTTATAGTTAATGTAATGGTTACAACCACATTGTGTATTCTATATCCATGTAAATTTATAGATTTTTTTGTGCTGAATAAATCCATTGATAACTGTTAAGTCAAAATTTTGGCATATGTCTAAGAGTCGTTTACCATTGTTGTTTATTCTTTCTACTCCATATTTTACTAGTATAAAATTACTGTTTTTTTTTAGTCTCAGGCGTTAAAGTCTGGTGGTCTGCAAATCTCCATGTTTTGATTTATACGTCACAATCTTGTGTAAAATTCCTCTTTTGTGTACGCATTAGCGTCTTCACTAGTGGAATATCTAAGTAAAAGCTTGTTGGAATATACTGTTTCAATTTTAGCCTACCTTTAAACAAAAGGAGCTTTTTGTAGGAAATTTAAGACTGGTCGAATTTTATAAAGCCTATTATTTCTATCAATTGTCTTAGTGTTTGAGAAATGTAGCACTTGTAGTATGTCTAAAAATGTAGCGATAGTGGGTAGATCGATAATCGCAAATTTTTTTAAAAAATTGGCAAATTGATTTGGAATACCTAACAAAAGATACCGTTAGTAACGGTTAGAGGAAAGTATTTTTACGACTTGGATAAAATTGCATCCTCTGTCCTCTACAGGCCTTTAAATAATGAAAAAAAAAAAACAAGACCTTTACACCTCTTTACAAAACAAGAAACTCGACTATAAAAACATGTGCAATATAATTTAGCGTGACACTAGTGTTCATAACGTGAAAATTGTCATCACTTATTTTTATTTTTATTAGTCAAATGGACTACCTAAGCTCTTATAATGGGCGGGGATTTTAAAAACCTTTCCAAACATTTTAAATTTGTGTATAATTTGTCCATAAGAAGTTGAAAATATTCTTTTTATTATTAGAGTGCCTGTCCGTTCCGAACTTTGGCGATCATTCTGGCTATTCTGGCCTTCTGACTTAGTTGTTTGCTATACGGAATAGCTGTGTTAGGGTCTTTCTATACCATGCTATCCGGTTAGCAAGCCAGGATATTGTTCTTCGTTCTGGGGCCCTTTTTTCCTTTAATTTTATAACCAGACAAGCGAGAGCTGGCGGGTTGCACGTAGAACAAATTAAAAAGTGGAAGGAATTGCTCATTTTTATTGCAGTCGGCTAGGAGTTCACATCGTGTATAACCGTTTAAGTACCTATACTATATACCTATAATCGCGATTAAGTACCTCTCCTATGTCTCTTAGAATAATTCCTTTTCTATTTTCGCGCAGCTCACCCGCCAGCTCTCGCTTGTCGGATTATACCTTGCAAAATAATGCATTAGAGTAACTCATATCTGCCTTAATTTTTTTAGTGTATGTTCCAAGTACTGCGCTTACGGCCCTTCACGATGTTACTCAAATCTGCATTGTGTTTGTTTTCCGAAGTACTTCTTTATTGGTGACTTTGTCTGTCCATGGTATCTTCAGGATCCTTCTGTATAACCATAGCTCAGAAGCCTAAAGTTTTGATAGAGTTTCCACCTTTACTGTTCACGTTTCTACTCTGTACAGAAGCACTGAGTGCGGGTAACATTTAAGGAGCCTTATTGTTGTGCCTAACGTGAGTTCATGGATCTTGAACACAGAGTTTATAGCCAAGAAGGCACTTTTTGCCTTTCCGATGCTACATTTAATCTTTTGAGTATTGTCCCCGACTCCCTAATTAAAGTTCCCAAGTAGTTGTACTGTGAGACACGTTTAATTCTCATTTGGTCCTGGTGCCTTTCCATCCTTCATTTGTCTGACGGCTGCCGTCATTTCTTCTCGTAGGATTTCGCGACCTGAATTTTCTTCAGTGGTGGTTATTCTTCCCATACTTTCTTTTTATCTTCGTTGGTTATGGCAAGATTGCGTTTATCATCAGTTATTTTTAGCTGTTACGGTTTCGGAACTTTCCAGCTATTTCCTTTACCTTTCGATGAACATTATAGATATTATTCCGACTCTAATACTTCTCTATTTCTTGATGTTGTTCTGTTTTTTTTTCTCTTTGGCTTCTCTTATCTTTCTTCTGATAATGGTTTTTACTTATATTCATGGAAATTGTCTTTATTTTTTTTTCACGGATTCATGTGTTCAAGTATTTCATCGGTCATCCACGATTTCCGTTTCTCTGTATCTTTCTTCAGATGTTGTTCTTTTATTTGTCTCACTGTTTCTTGTATAATGATTAGACTTTCTTCTATAGTTCCTGCATTTCTGCATTTTACCGCCGATGTATAGAGGTTTTCACTCACCTTTAGTCGAATATTGGGATCTTTCGGTTTTCTAACATCATAATTCTTTATCGACTTACTTATAAATGTTGGTTTTTTTAATTGTTTGAAGAATAAATAAGGACTTTTGGTTATACACCTTCATTTTGTGAGATTGATATTATTTGTTTCCCGTGAACTTATGAGGTAAGAATATTAAAATAAGAATATTAAATTATTTAATTAACTATTAGCATATTTACTATGAATGATCATATCAAGGTTATATTATTGATTGATTTAAACTTTATTTATCTTTTACTTTATTTCAGGGTATTTTGTTATTGTTTTTATCTGGGTCTTTTTACAATTAATCAATAAATCATTAAATTTATTTACGATGGTAAAACATATTTAAATTATTGTTTTATTCTTTTTTAACTGATAGTGATTTTATCCCCTAAAAGATTAAATCTATTTGTTTTACCCTAGTTTAAATAGTTAATAGTAGTTTTGTTGTCATTACTGAAAAATTCAGTGATACTGGATACCTTCAACACATGTTTACTAGCAGTTTCATCTTGAGACCTAAAAAATAAACTTAAAACCTATTACAATATTCTAAAAACATTTTTTTAAACACTCATTGTGCTAATTTAATAGAAGGGTTTCAACAGAATGTTGTATTATAATGTAAAATAAAAAAAAAATGAATCTCTTTAGTCTTTTATTGGATAAAATTACTGGCAACGAAAAAAGAAAAAAACATTGATTTAAATATTTTCCAACTTCTTAAATAAATTCAATAATTTATTGATTTATTATGAAATTACCCTGATAAAAACAACAACAAAGTACCTTAAAATATATTAAAAAAATAAATTTAAAAGTTTTTTTCAAACAATAACATAACCTTAAAATATAAACATTTATAGTAAATATCTTAATACTTTCATATTATTACCTCACAAATTCACGAACAACAAATAATACCAATCGCACGGAATGAATTTTCATAACCAAAAGTCCTTACTTATTTATTTTTCAAACAGTTATTGGTAAAAAACCAATATTTTTAATATATTTAATATATTTAATACATTTTTCCAACTTATGGGAAAAATACACACAAATTAGAAAGGTTTGGAAAGACTTTTAAAATCCCGGCCCATTGTAACGCAGACTTAGTTAGTCCATTATCTTCCGACAATTGTTCTGAACATCATTGGATAGCGCAAAAAGTTTACTTTAGCATAGAAGCAATAGTTATTTCCTAGCATTTTAACAGACTCGGGAATTAAGGGCACGAAAAAATGTTTTCTAATAAATCAGTCTTACACAGAAAAAGTTTTTAACGTTTGCAACAATAGAGTGAAAGCTTATCTTAATCAACTATTTTGTTTTCAGAAAATATTGGCCATAGTTTTAAATCTTCAACTTGTCATCCTTATTACTCCGGTAGTACGAGGAACATATCTACTTCTTCTCACAACAATAAATATTATTAAAACAACATGCATTACTACTTTTAAGTTGTTAACTGGAACATACCTTCCAACTCTACCCATCCCTACAGATATGTCTTTGGACAATACAAAAACAATGATATCTACAGTTGCATCTTTTAAAAATGAAATGAAAAATCCTAAAAATCTAACAGATAAGTCAAAACTGGAACTGCCTGTAACACCGAAAGATCTTAAAAAATCTATAAAACAATTAAATGTTCAAAATTTAGTTTCCAGATTCGGTGCTTTGGGTATTATATTGTTTGTTACTGCATTCATAAGAAAGATCCTTAAAAAAATTAGAAAGTTTATCAAACTCGCTATTAAATACTTAAGAAACAGTTTTTCATTTGGCAAATGAATCAGATTTTAAAAAAGCGTCTTTAAAGTTCGGTGGTCACTGTTTGACTAGAATAAAATCAGCATCAATGAAAAAAGCCAAAATGCTTGTAACTGGCAAGTTCTATACTTCCGATAAAATACCAGACATTTACACATTACGTCAAAACGAAATAGCTACCTTGGTAGATAAACAAGCTGCTATATCAAAATCTATAGCTGCTGAAATGCCAGCAGCTGAGGATTTAGCAAAGGCGAGAATGCTTTTAACAGACAAACTTTCTATTCCTAGTGAAATTCCAGGAACTAACGATTTAGCAAAAACCAAAATGCTCCTAATAGACAACTTATCTATTCAAAAAGAAATATCAGACATTCCAACATTACCTTACAATGTCATTTCTACTTTGGCAGATAACAAAGTTTCCCAAATGCCAGCAACAGAATACTTAGAAAAAGTCAAATTACTAAAGTCCACTATTACAGAGGATTCATCTGTTTCTTCAGTTGTGTCTGCTGTTATTGCTGAGCAAAATATTTCTTTAAATAATATCGTTGCATCTAAAATGCCAGCAACGGAATATTTAGACAAAGTGAAATTACGTAAGTCAACTATTACAGGGGATTCGTCAGTCTCTTCTGTTGTTTCGGCTGTGATTTCTGAACAAACTGTTTCTTTAAATAACCTCACAGTCAAGCTATCAGATTCCAAACATATATTAAGCAATGATATTCTCAGTTCAACCAAACTTGTCAACTCAAAATTATCTCCAGTAAATCCAAAGTCTAAACCATCTGGTCCTCATCAAACATTAAAGGAAGTTATTCCCGATTCGAGCAAAATTGTGGATTCAAATTTATCTCTAGACAATTCATCGTTCAACTTGTCCAGTACTGATCAAATTATTAAAGATCTTCCCGATGCTAGCAAAATTGTAAGCTCAACATTGTCTATTTCTGAAAGTGTGTCGATATCAAAAACATCTGTTTCTGATGGTATTATATCTACTAAGTCGACCGCACTAGATAAAAATACAACTGTCGAAAGAACAACTTCTCAACATTCTAGCTTTATTTCGAAAGAAGTATTAACGACAGCAATAACGAGACAATCATTAAATGAATCTTTGGTTCCAAAAGTTTTATCTAAACCTGATGCAATTAAATCGTCGTTTTTGAAAAGATTTTAGAAGAAATAATTTTAATTTTTTATATTACTTAGTCACAACTTTTTGTGTAATAAAATTATATTCTTAGCTGTTTTTTATAGCTGTTAAGTTTTTTAATTAATTATTTTTTCTATAGCTGCAAATTATATTATTAATGTTATCTTCTACTTTTCATAGACCTGCATCTTTAGAGATTTTTATGCTATATGATATTCTCAGCCTATACGAATCTACTGCTGGACATAGATCTCACTCAGCTCTTTCCTTCTGCCTATGTCTGGTGTGGCTAGCATCAAGTTACTGCTAACGCTCATAAGGTCGCCAGTCGATCTGGTTAATGGCGTCTTTTGCTTTGTAGTGCCTCCACTCAACAATATGTTTTGTCAATCGGTTGTTTAATAATCTTTTGTCGTGTCCTGCCCAACTCCATTTCAGCAACGTCATGTTATCGATATTTCTACGACATATTTCTTTATTTGGGCTTTCATCTATCAAAGAAATACACAACATCTGACACCTCATAGCCCATTAAGTGACGCGATTCTTGTTTACTACCTTTTTTGTCAGTGTTGTCCATAAGTTAGTACAAGTAAAACACATTGGTCAAAGATTAAATTGTTGAAGAATATGGGTAGGTTCGATTTAAAAACATGGTTTAATTAACCAAACGCTGCCCAGGCTAATCCTATGCGACATGAAAGCTGGCGTGTTCGGTTATCTATATCCAACCAAATTTGTCCCCTTTTTTGTGTAAGAGTATTACTAGACTCCCGTTCCAGTCTTTAGGGATCTGGCTATTATGGAGACATCTATTAAATAGCTCTGTTAGTACAGGGATTGTTAATGTCTTGCTTGTTTTTAAGAGCTCGGCTATCACTTTATATTTGGTAGTATTTCTGATCCCACGTTTTTTATTTTTCTTTTGACGTTCTCCTTTGTTGTTTCATTAGGCTGGCCTTGCAAGCTGCACAAGGATGTGTAGAAGTCTTGGACAATATTTGTTATTTTATATTTGTCCTTCTCTGCCTTATTGTTGGCGTCTTTAATTTTGATGATTTTTTGAACTCCCAGTGCGGGTCTTAGACATTTCTGTTGTTTTCAATGACTCGCTCTATTAAGTTCTCGTTTCATTTTTGTATGTCGCGTTTTAGTTATTTTCTAATTGTTTTATTAAGTACTCTATATTCTTGAGTATGGCGTTTGTTTTGTGCTAGTAATTGTCTTCTTTAGTCCTTGTTTTCTTTGCGACCTGTAGTCCTGCTGCGAGAAGGTTTTTATTTAGGTTTTTCTTAATCTCGTCAATTTGATCCTGATTATGTGAAGGATCAGGTTCGAACTTATCCGCTAAGACCTCTCGGAATTGCTCTTCATCTGTTCTTAGTTTAAAGGCATCTATCCTCGTTGTTTTTTGTTAAAATCCTTTTTCTCTCTTCTTTGATGTTAATATTTATTTTTGCTCTGACTATGCGATGGTCACTACCCGTTGTTACGTTGTTTATTATTGTGACGTCTTCAAATATTCCTTCGTTGTTTGAGAGAAAATAGTCTATTTCATTTTTGGTAGTTCCGTTAGGTGCGACCCATGTCCACTTTCTGTTAGGTTTCTTTTTGCTGAAAATTATAAATCCAATATAACATGTCTACATTTTGGTTAGTTTCTTGCGATTACAAGGACGCCGCGTATCTATTAAGGTTAACAGTACCTAATCCTTTTAAATTCTTTTTATCCACAAATATCATAATTTTGAAGTATCGCGCTCATATTAAGCCCTCTATTTGACGCATACTATCTGATTTTTTTACTACTGTCAGAATCTGTTGTATTATGTGTTTGACCGACATTTAATTTGCTAAGAACTATGTCATCTTCATACCACAGGACATAAAGTGTGTCGTTACTGAGTCTAGTTACCAGCCCAGCCAGGACCAGAATCCACAAGAAAGGAGAGCAGAGAAGACTAAGCACCTATTTCTTTCTTAATTTCTTCAATTTTTTGTTTCAATTTCTTTGTTAATTCTATCAGTGTTTTATTGTATTCTTTTAACTGCGCTGTCTTTGCCTATATAACTATCTGCTTAGTTTTAAAAATGTTTTGGCATGCACTAATTGAAATTGTCTCCAGTACACTCTTATTAATTTTTTTGCTGTTTCCATAATTCAATAATTTTAAATGATAAAAATATTATGTGTAGGTACTTATAAAGTCTTTTATTTTCTCGGTTCTTCCATGTTACCTTTTATTTTTAATTTTGAAAACCGTTCCATTTTACTGCTACTTGACTACGAAATGCATAATAATATATGTATGCATTCAACTGCCATCACTTTAATGTTTATTAATACAAAGTGTTTGTAGAACTCTATAGTATGTCTTTGTTCTCCTTTTAACTTATTTTGGTGATTTGAGTATTAAATTTTCTTATATTTATCACTAGTTAGATTAGTTTATACATTAATAATTTTCTCACTTTTCCAATTTTAAATCGTCAATGAAGCAAATTTATCACCAAGATACTTTCTTTTTGACTGTCATTAAATTTACCCGTTTCCCGAATTACAGTTTCCCCCTTGATTTTGTCGGTTTTATATTATGTAGTGGTTCGTGATGGATTTTGTCGATCATTCAGCCCTGTTCACAGAGCGGATATTGTATTAGTAAACACAGACTTAAAGTTTGTAACATTAAAATTTGAATACAATTCCAGTTTATGTCGAATATTTGGTTCCAAGTTCCAAGTATTTATTATATCCCATTAACCTTTCCTACCTCTTAATTCTATTAGAGCATTTTCTATTGTTAGAACAACGTCATTTCTTAGATTTGATATAAATAACATATATATTTAGATTATTGCAAACATTTTTTGTAACATGTAATTTATAAATAATACTTATTATATATTGTATGATAGTTATAAAAAAATTGTAAAATAATTAAGTTAGTTTCAAAATAAGTTTATACTTTAAGAATATATTTATTCTGTGTAATTTTAAGTTGTTCAATAAATGTTTGCAATATATCTTTGTTTTTTATTTAATCTAAATCCCATTTCTCTTTTTACCTAATGTATCTATTGCCACGAAAAACCACGAATTTCCCATTTTACTTTACGATTTGTCATGTATCAGTATGGTCAAAATTTTGGGAATTGTAACAACGATAATGTTGCAGCAAGTTTACAGTGAAAAAGTATACAGATACGAATATTATCTGTGAATTTTATAATGGGAAATAATGAAGATTTGAACTAGGACAATATGGACAGCGTGAATAACTGTTACACAAACGAAATAGAAACTATTTTACTAACTTACTACTTTCACCAGCACCAGTTAGAGAGACTGGATTATATGCTCTAAAAAATGGTCAAAATATGCATGCAACATGCACTTAAAAGTAACCAAATATGCCTTTATTATATGCAATATGCATTTATATATGCACTTTAAAAAAATATATTTTTAAATTTTTAGGGCTTGAGATTTGGTGAAAAATAAAATTATAGTATAACTTAGAGAGTGTTTATTTATTACTACATTTAATAAAAAAATGTAAATGAAAATTCACAAGAAAATGTAATCGTTCTTGCTGTTCCAGTATATAATCATAAAATGTATGTACCGTAAAGTCCCCACAAATTAATTATGTGTTTAAAGGGTCCATAATAATAGTATTTTCATGTTTTTTGTCAGTTGTATAGAGTCTTCTAGAGTCGGGCAGAAATTTTCGATTTCTTCTTCAGTAAATACTATCACTGCTTTAGATATTTTCCTTTTTTATTAATATCGCTATGCCATCTTCGTTTGTTGTTAAATTTGTAGCACATGTGATTATTTATATATTAATATTGATAGTTGGAATCCCATAACGTCAAATTACTTTATCATTAATTAACTAGCTAAATTACTGGCAAACGTTTATTATTTGGTAATAAGGCAATTGAAAATTAGATGCAATTAAAATTTGTATTTAATAGTTAGTTACGTATGACATTCTATTTCTGGTATATTCACGAAATAATTGCTTACATTTATTTGCATTAATAAAAAAAATTAGGTACTTTTCAACTAAAAATAACCTTTAAAAATAAAGCCAGAATACAAAACGTTATTTTTAATCAATTGAAAAATGTGTTAAAATATCTGATATAACAAATATGAAAGAACTAAATATAAACAATAAAATGAGGAAACATATACAGGCTGGTCCTTAAGTTATTGTACAAAAAGAAATACAGCTGTAATGTAGATGATAGAGGGCACCACATCTACCACATTTACCACATATGTGGCATAAATTGGCGCATTACTTTTTTGCTCTTTAAATTAGCGCTATTTGTGTTAAAAAATATTAAAGATAGAATATTTTTACAACGAAAAGATATACTTTGTTAATACCATTAAAATTTTTATTTTTATTTTTACTGGTCTTATTTCGATTCCATTGCCTAACGTCACTATCATTTCAGCTTGTTCGTAAATATTAGGTATTAATATTCTGTACCTGGAGTCGATCCAGGACGTCTTTGCTGTAATTATTGACATTGAAAGGGCCTTTGATCAAGTAAAGCATCACAAATTAATTACAATATTAAAAGATAAAGGAGTTGATATACTGGCGTCAAACAGCGACAGCTTGCATAAACAGAAAATCAACAGAAATATGTAAAATACAAAGAGGTGTCAGACAGGGTTGTATACTATCCCCACTGTTATTTAATTTATATTCATATAGAATATTTAAAGGAGCGCTGCATAATTTGGAATGGCGCGTGAAGGAGAATGGAATTCTGATAAATACAATCAGATATGCAGACGATACAGTTATTTTAAGTGATGACATGAATGGATTACAATGCCTTTTAAAAGCCATTGATACAGTGGGAAGAGAGTTTGGCCTAAACATAAACAAAAAACAAAACACATGGTGTTTAGCCGTTTAGCATATCAAGATGCACGATTATATGTTGATGGTCATATAATTCAAAGAGTGTCCAGTTTTAAATATCTTGGTTGCCAT